ATATATATATATATATATATATATATATACACACACACACACACACACACACACACACACTGACACAGTTTGGGACTGCCCAGCCAATCAGAGCGAAGTGGAGTAGGTCCCCCCAGAAGTGGGTGGGAGAGCTGTTGAAACAGAAGTCTGTCTCAGGACACACAAAGTTTGCACTGGTGGTTAAGAGAACTTTTCTGCTTACAACTCTTCAGAATTATTTTAGTTTTTTCGTCCTTTTATTGTTATTTTATTGAGCTCTGGGGTCCATTAGGGCACTGCGTGAGTGTGGAATGTCTGAACTGGTGCGAATTCGTAGGAAACGACTGCAGATCCCCATCTCTAGGTAAGACAGGGGGTAATTATATGTACAGAAGATATCATAGCTATCTATGTTCAGCCTTTTGTGTGACTACCTTATTAATGTTGAAGGACTTTACAGAACATGCTACATCTTACATTTAAAATAATTGATCACTGTTGGGTGCACTAAGGCTGTCTTGATCACATTCTGTTATGTACTGTAGGAGCTTTTTTGTTTTGCAGCAATAGAAATATGCGAGTAAAAAACAAACCCTGTACAGCACATTGATGAGAGATAATGCAGCGGCTCTGGGTGGATTTGTTGACACAGTTGCAGGTCACTAAATGAGAAGTTTATCCATACCTTGCAAAGTATCCTGTTTTAAATTGTCAGGAGATTTTACATATTTGATACATTCACAAGATTTTCTGCCTTACTTTACTTAGCAGAATGAGAGCACTTGTCACTGCCAGCGGTTGTGTGAACACTCATCTTACTCATGCTTTTTCTGTGGGAGGAAATGTGCTGCAGAGGTGATGGGTCATGTGGTTTTGTTTTGGTTAACATATTGCAGTATTAGTGTCTGCAGGGTATAGAACGGAAAACTTGTTGATTATTTTGGGTCATTTGCAATAAAATCAAACATTTCACATTCAAAATGTACCATGAAAGATTATAGCATTTTTATTAGATCTAACAAGATAAGGGTTTGATTTGTGTTTACTTCCTTGTTTCTCAATACAATTAACTCTACGGAACACTTTTTGTGCTGACAAAGCTGATACCATTCAAACACATAGTAAGTGCTCCGAGTAAGGATGACACTATGCAGTGTCTAGATTCAACAAAGTCTGAGCCAAAGGAGGATTTGTCATTTCTCTCTATAAACAAAGTTTCACGAGTGCACTTGACGGGTAATTTCCTGTAAACGTCCTTTCAGAGGCTCCCAAACAAGAAAGACTGTGTTATCATAAAAGATTACTTAAGATTGAAAGTGAGTGGTGGCATTTAGATGCATGCTATTTTTATGACTCAACAGCTTTTGAAAGCCCTTGCCAGCGTGATAAAGACTTGAAAAGCTGTGGCTCAGGAGCATGGCCTGGCGCAGTTTGAACACAATCCCTCTGATCACGGCAGCGTACACAAACCAAAATGTTTTTATATTGGAAGGATCTGTGGCACTAATGTGTTATCAAATAAAATGAATGTCTTTTTCTAAATGGCTGCGGAAAAAGAAAGCCCAATCAAAGCAGAAAGGTTCCACTATAAACTGAGGATGAGATTCTTCATCAGAGCTGGATGATGCTATGAAAGCTTTTCGATGTATTAGCATAATGAGGTTACATTAACACGCTGCAGGTGGGTTTCACTGTGGTGACATGTGTTCCAAGCATTTGCTTTTTATTACGCTGCAGGAGATTTATTCTGTTCCAAATGTTTTTTTATCGTAATTTGATTTTAAAGTTTAAAATTGAGCAACATTTTTTCAGACAAGATCAGATTGCAGCCAAGACTTCAAAAACATACTTTTTCTTGGAGCCCACTTTGACAAAATTAAGGTTACATAAGAACCATGGGAAGTTTTCCTCTCATGGAAAATGTGGCACTAATGATGCCCCCTTGCCACTGGCTTTCTTTGGACAGCTTGGCATTTAAATCACTTCCAAATGAACTCTTTGCTTTCAGCAGGATTTCTCAACCTTTTTGAAGTCCTGCTCATACCTTGCTTCACCCACTCAAGACAATGATAGGTGCTGTCAATTTGTGTATAGAAATCTTCTCTTTTTGTTCACACTGATCTTTTTTCTGTACCCTGATTGAATTATAGTGAAGACTTTGATGCCAAACTGCTGTAACCTCTTGTATTTTCACAACACGGTTGCTGTTTTGAAGAGTAAGAAACAGCAGTCCGATTAATTTCAAAAAGGGCCTCAGCTATTTTATTGTATTGTTTGTTTTTACAGACTGAGGAGCATTTTGAAGCAGCTAGAGGAAAAAGATGTCGACTTCGAAGAAATAAAAAAAAATCTGGATCTCACAGCTTCGTTACTGGAGTCAGTTTACCACGATGGATCAAGGTAGGATATAGATGAATATGATGTTGACATTTTCTGATGAGTAAATTGACACACAAACTGTTTTAGCTCTATAGTTACTTTGAACTTGTGGGGTAAAGGCCCAAAAGGTTCTTAACTAGAATAGCATTAAATATGGGATTGTGGACACCTGCAGTGCTTTAGTTCAGTTTTTTACTATTACTCCGCTGCTTTAACATCTGTCTAACAATTAGTGTTTGTGTGTTTGTTTGTTTGTTTGTTTGTTTGTTTGTTTGTGTGTTGTCTCTCAAAGGCAGTGTCTGGAGTCCGAGGATGACCTCCAGCAGTTACAGTCAGACGGCGTGCCTACAGAGGTCACTGATTGGCTGGCGTCTACTTTTACCCAGAGGGTTCGGCAGCCTGTACGACGCTCGGATGAGAAGCCCAAGTTTCGCAGCATTGTACACGCAGTGCAGGCTGGGATATTTGTGGAGAGGTAAAATAACACATACTTAATTTTGTTGGAGTGATCTCCTTTTCAGCCCTATGTGGTTATGATCTTTTTTTAGACGAGGCCAGTACTATTCATAAGAATATTTGTCTTTAAAAAAGCAGCTACAGCGGAAAAGTAACAGTGCTAGGAATGAAACGATATGTTTTAAATTACGAGATGTAATTACACTAAAATAGGGAAACAATAATCTCATACTATGAAACTCCTACTGTAAATGACTAATATTCACGTCTGTACTATAACTCTAATAAGATCATAAAGTTGTTACTATCACAGCCACAGAAACCACAGACAGCTGCACTGGATTGTGAAACATTAGGCCCCTTTTCTCTTTAAAACATCCTTCCAAAGGGGACAGGGACTTTGGAGGATTTATAAACAGCTCCTAAGACGAGTTTGCTGCACAATGTCAACATCTGAACTTTAACTGAACTCAACATAAACATTGCATTATTTCAGGATGTTCAAGAGGGCCTACACAGCAACCATGCCAGACCAACCTGCCGCGGCCGTAAACTGCCTCAGGGTAAGCCTCCACTACTGAATCTCTCTGTGCCTCGTGTGTTTGTGCAATAAATCGGACATCACAAAAAAGGACCGTATACACACCAGAAGTATGCATCAATAACGCATTCACTTTCTCCTCCTTTTTTTCAGGATATTGACCGCTGGAACTTTGACGTGTTTGCTCTGAACTCGGCCAGTTCTGATCACGCTCTGCAGACTCTGTTCTTTGAGCTGATCACCAGATATGGTCTCAACAGCCGGTTTAAGGTGTTTGACTTTGGATTTCATTGCATAGCTTAAAAAGTGCACTTCCCATACATGGGGCGAAGCCTGCGAGCTAGTTCAGGCAGTCAACTCGAGCACTTATGCTGCATTCATACATAACGCCCCTTGCCCTACAACCAACCAAACAGTCTCCTTAATATGCCGCTCTATTTAACCTGCCAGATCTCTCTCTATGCATTGCTTGCTGCTGCTATTGCTGCTGCTACTTCCACGTCGCTGCTGCTTGCCTGCCCCACCACCACCCCAGCTTCCACCCCAGCTTCCACCTGTAGGCTCGGGGGGGTTAGTTATTTAATCATCACTCATCGTGCTATGTATATCTGTGGAGTGATGAGGCCCGAGCCTAGACGCCAAACTCAATTATATGCTGCTTCTAATAAACATGTTAAAGAAACACGTGAGTTGCCTGACTGAAATGATGTTATGGGACAAAGAGAACAATGTCGGTACTTTGGAGGGAAAATATTACAGTTATATGACACTTTTGACCTTGTAACAGCTGTTTGGAAAAAGTGTGTTGTAATTGCAGATATAATCAGGCATATGGGTTTTATTATCAATTTGGAACAAAAGGTTGCCAAATTATGTGCAAATCACATGCTAGCCATGTCAATCTCATGCACAACCTTGTGACACAATTCAGGCTGTTATTGTTGACACTAACTTTCTGAACCTTGAATTTCCAAACACAACTTTGGACTAATAATTGTGTAATGCACTTTGCAGATACCAATCTCGTGCCTCACAGAGTTCCTGTCTGCACTGGAGAGAGGATATTGCAAACACAACAACCCGTACCACAGCCACGTTCATGCTGCTGACGTCACGCAGACACTGCACTGCCTGCTGCTGCGCTCTGGACTCGTGGTACATTTGGCTTACTTTTATCCACTTATTTTTGGTGCTGAATTGTATCTTTCCAAGGCTAATGGATAGTGTTTTTGTATATTCTCCTTAAAATCCCATAAAAATCCCAAAAAACAGCCTTTTGTTAAACTGCCAGTCCGGCCCCCTGTTGGTTCACTTGGTGTGAACAACCGCAGGTGCTATGAATATCTCCAGGAAACGACTGTGTGTCATTACGCACTATTAAAGATAGTAGGCTACTATGGTCAGTCTTTAGAGTTGTGATTCTTTTTGCGAAATACTCTCTGTTATAATGCATGCATATTCAACCCATGGTGCTGTCTGTCCTATAAAACGTATCTTTAATTCATAGTTATCATGTATATGTTTATTTACATGAAGTAAACATATCCTGTTAACTTTAACGATTTGATTCAAAACCACCCCTAGGATCAATTCATTGTTGGTTTGGGTGTTTTGTTAGGATTTGTTTACTATACTGTACACTGTGCACACTGTGTCTCTTCCACAGTACAGTATATGCACCCTGTTACACATTTTATATTGATTTTTTTT